CTCTCTCTCTCTCTCTCTCTCTCTCCCCGCTCCCCCCAACCACCACGCTCCACTCTACATCCTTATCTGCTTCTGTCATCATATCTTGTCTCTGATTCTTATCCTCCTGCCTCCATCTTATAAGAACCTTTTTGATTATACTGGGTCTGTCTGGATAATCTAAGATAATCTCACCATCTCAAGATCCTTAAATTAATTATATCTGCAAAGTTTCTTTAGCCATGTCAGGTAACATATTACAGATTTCAGGGATTGGATTAGGATGTGGGCCTCTTTGGGAGGAGGGCATTATTCAGACTATCACTGCTAGAGACCAGGAAAAGGTTTACAGTAGGTGGCTGGGCACTCTGACCTGGCCTTTGAGATCTGGACCTGGTTTGGTGTATAAATTCTGAGATAACTTTGTGCAAGACACCTTTCATCGGTGGGCCTATAAGTTACAGACTTATTTTGTGCATCAAATAGTTCCTAATTTTCCTGTGCATTCAAGTCACCTGAGTCCCTTTCAAAACATCAGTACATCTCCCAAGGATTCAACTTAGGATATTGAAATGAGGGAGAGCTCTTCTTCCCATTCCCTCATTTTATGAGTGCTCCAGGAGACCTGGATGCACATGAGCATGGGGTTCTGTGTTCCTAAGTTCTCTCACATTTAGGATGCTGGAATTGCCAGCCAGTTCTGCAGTCTCGGGCTTGGGCTCTTGTAGTGTCCTTTGTTCAGACCTGATTTAGTCAATTTACAAGCAGGAGTGAGAGGGAGTCCAGAAATTTAGGACCTTGTAGAGTTCAAAAATCCAACTGTTTCACCATCCCAAGCAGTGACATGGAATTTTTAAAAGGCTTTGAACAATAAACTATCCATAAAATCTTTCATTTGGATAAGGTGGTTTCAGGAAGAGAGCAGGTTAGAGTGTGCCATTCCCATTCAAGCTTGGGATCATCAGCCTCAAAGAGAGGCATGGATAAGATGTGGAGAAAGCAGAGAAAACAGCCAAGAGCTATGCATAGGGAGTGTTGTGGCGCGAATGATTCTGAGACCCACGGAGCCAATTGAGATTAATTATGAGCCTTTATTAGCTGGCCGGCGACTGACTCTCTACCATGCAGGGTTAGAGGAGATCCGCCCCGAGCTTCTAGAGGAGGCAGCTTATAAAGCCTCCTACTACATCCTTGAATAAGCAGATTACAAGAAGCAGAAGTTAGCCATTAACGTTTTGTACAAAGATAAATGTATCCAGGGAACTCTCGGATCAAACAGGGCCTAGTTGACAGTTTTATTATTTTCTCCTTGGAACGTTGCACTTCTGGGGCTGGCACCTGGAGATATCACCTCCCTGTGACTGAGTTACTGCTTGCACCTGGAGATACTGCCTCCCTGAAACTGGAGAATTTCCACTTTTACATTCCCCACTGGTTTTCGAAGGGAAATCAAATCATTGATTCTCCAGCTTGGAGTGGTTGGTGGTTTGTTCTGAGGACCATGAGTTTTACTGCCTGGACCTGCTTTCTGACATAGGTAGTTATCCAATTAATTAAACAGGGA